ATACTTAAGGGTTATAAGCATAGACTGCTTTAGTAGCCTATAATAGACTATAGCTCTAAACACCTCCCCTTCTTTAATAAGGGTCTTCTTGACATTCTTAGTGTCTAGGGATAGAGTCTATTAGAATATTAAATTATCTTTTATATTAGTGTCCATAATAAGAAAACCCTAGTTAGACTCTCTAATAATATTAATCTCCTTATTCTAATAAATATTAGTATAAATCTTATATTAGGAGATTTAATTAGTATACTCTGTAGTCCTTCTTATTAAACTCTGCTATAATACTATAAAAGTAAGGGCCTATATAGTTAATTATAGACTATAAGAGATATGCCTAGTTTTAATATCTGAATTATTTATAGTATATTACTAACTTACTCTTAAAATTTACTAGAGTAGCTTTATACTTCTTTTTCTATTCTTATATAGTAATACCTAAAATAGTAGCTAGTTTTTCTTTTTATAGATCTTTATCTGGCAGGGCAGTCTAATATAAAGTTAATTAAAATCTACTATTAAGAGATTAGTCTTACTAATGCAGTAGATGAGTTATGCTATAGTAGATTTTAGTCTACTAAATTAAAAACCTTATAAATAAAATCTTATGAGTATTTAAGAAGGTCCTTATTAACTAAAAATAGCTTAGTTATATCATCAGTGAGTGTTAAGGTTAGAAAAATATACTCTTTAATAGCTTAATCCTATATAAAACTTTTAAGGTTATTAGCTATGGCAGCTAGATATTTCTAGGATGGTTCCACCTAAAATATAATATATTTCAGCACCTCCCTGATAATTACACTAACCTTATATTTTTTAATCAGTACTAACCTATACTTTTATTAGTATATACTAGAATCTAATAATAAGAGATTTACTATTCTTTAAACCTTTCCTCCTTATTATAAAATGTTATAAATATATAGATATACTAATTATTATTTAGGGCCTCTAAAAACTACAGGCAATAGTGTTTAAGTATATAAGTTTTAATAACTACTAGCTCTGCTAGTACTTACTAAGTTAATAGATTATTACTAATACTATCTAGCAGCTGAAGAAAATCTAAGATATTTTAGCTATTAAAGTCTTCCTTTTTAGGAAGGAAGAGAGTATATATAGCATTTAGATAATAATTTTTCTTCTTTTTAAGTTTAAAGATGTGTTTCTAATTATTAAGAGAGACTGATAGATCTATATCCCTAAAGACATCATTATAGAGCTTCCTAAACTTTTTAAAGAAGGGCAAATAAATCTAACATTAAGAGAATTAGTATCTATATATTAATTCTTTAGACTTATACTTATAAAATCTAGCTTCTAAGAGATAATGGTTTCTAAGCACCTAAGGGAGGTAATATTCTGGCTATACTATATTAATATAAAAAACTTAGTAGTAGCTTAGAAGTTATAATATCTTAAAAGAGTAAGAATTCTAGGCACTAATTTTTGGTCTACCCTGAATATTAATATAGCCTATTTAGTGAAGAAGGAAGGGCTGAGTTTATAGATATTATAGTCCCTAGGGAGATTATTAATAATATCTATAATAGCATGTATTAACTCACTGCTTATATTTATCTTATAGACTATTTTATAATTAGCTTATAGATAATATAGTAAGGGTTTATCTAATTAGTCTTTATCCTAAATATTACAGGCCTATAAATATGCCTATAGTAAGTTAGCTCTAGTATAAGTAGAAATCTCTTATTAGGAGATTTCTTACTATATTATTAGGTAGCTTAATCTGCTTGCCTTATAGATTAATATCACCTCTTATAGTAGCCTTACTTATCTCTCTGTAGAGACTTATTAATGCCTCTCTTTTATATTACCTAGCCTGGAGGACTAGTACTATAATACCTGGGATTAGCTATACCTAATTAATAGTAAGTAAGTCTATGGTCTGCAGGCAGGATTATATTATAAGTTTATCTAGGTTATCTAGTATTAGTTATTTATTATTAGTTCTTATAAAAATCTAAGTAAGGTAGGTATTAAAGTCTAACTTAGATAGCATAACCCACATCCTATCATCTAGTGTGTACCGGCGGATATTTATTATAAATTACTATTTAAGGTTATTAATATATTTTTAGTTTAAGATATAATTTTAGCCTCTTCTCTACTAAGTCTGCAGCAGGTATATATTAAAAATAATAATTCCTAGAAAGTATTACTCTAGATTCTGCATTATTTTATCTTTACTAATCTTAACTTCTTATATAACTAGGGTATTAGCTTACTTATCCTTCTTTTTCCTCCCTATATTACTTTAAATCTCCTAATAAGAGAATTATAAGGTGGGAGTAAGGGTTATAGAATAGATAATAAATAGGCTAGTAGATTATAAAATCTCTTAATAAGAGATTTTAAGAGTGGGTGTCAAGACTTAATAAATAAATAATAAATAGGCTGGGAGATTAAAAAAACTAAGTTTTAATAAAATCTATAAAAAAGAAGAGAAAGAGATCCTGCAAGGCTAAGGAGCATTCTTATTAATATATTTAATACTAGTATCATTCAACCTCTCTATTAATAATATTTAATAGTGAATATTATTAAGCAGAATTAATTGTTCTTTATATTATACTTAATTAATTTAAATAAGTAAATAAATAAAGAAAGTTTAATATTTAGTTAGTTATATAACTGCTTAGTAATCTCTCCCAATAAGAGTATTATATAAATGTGATTATTAATTTATTATTAAATTATTAAGTATTATAAATTTGTAATATAGATTCTATATATTAATTAAATACTACTCTCCATGCTAAAACATATTAAATCTCTCATTAAGAGATTTATAATATAGTATTTATAGTAATACTTATCTTTTTATGGTTTAGAAAGACTTCTAGTTATATAAATATAATATATAGTATATATAGTTTATATATATATTAGCACTCCCTTATAGGCATTTTTAAATATATAGTCTATCTACTATATATATTAAAATTTAAATAATCTCTTATACAGATTAGAAAAGTATTCTTATATAGTTATATTCCTTCTTTCTTTAAGTATATCTATCACAGTGTATAGGTAGAATATTAAAATATTAATATTAAAGGAGAAGGTAAAATATTATCTATATTTTAAATATGCTATATTAGTAGGCAAAAATTATATATTTCTACTGCTCAGCTAACCATGCTTCTTAATTATACTTTATTCTAAAAAGAAACCATATAGATATACAGAGATATATAGATAATATATTTAGACCATACCGCCTTACTATAACTATTTAAGTCTTTATAAGTAAATTATAGAATTACTTTCCTATAAACTTAAGAAGCCTACACCCTATACTTCCAGGGCTAGGGACCTCTTATTAGCTAGAAGAATTTCTTATTATAGAGATCTTAATAACTATTAGTGCTAGGAGATAGGCGCTGGTTTTAACTAAACTAAATATTAGGCTGGGTAGTTTGCATTATAAGACTATTAATTATAAGGCTAAAAGTATTCAGAACTAGGTCTTTTGCATAGTCAAGTATAGCCTTTAACTTATAAATTATTAAGATAGTCTATAGGATATAATAAAGATTAAAGATAAAATTAATATATAATATATTATAATTTATAAACTCATAAACCTAGCCTCGCCATGTCAGCGTTCCAGTATGTTTATAATAATATTAATGGGCTTATAGGTTATAGATTATCTATAATATCTATAATATTCTCTTAATGAGAGATCTTTCTACCTACTAAAGTAGTATAGTTTAAAGTCACATGCAAAATATGGGTAGAAGGGGTATCCATAATCCAACCCACATGGATTTCAAGGTAGATAGCTAACGTCATGGGTTAACCCAAAACCCATTTGGGTTGGGTTGAACCCCATGTGGATCCATCCAAACCCAACCCATGACCAGTCTAGTTCCATTACACTGTCTTCCTGCTGCTCACCACCGCCTACCTGTGGCTGCTATCTCCCTTCCCCTCCTGGTGTATCTTTGAAATAGTACTGGAATTCGAATTCAGAGACCTTGAGTCAAGTTTAATGTCTACTTAAGTAGTGAGAATTTGACGTTTGAAGAAGTGATGGACGCTCTCAGAACAAGTTATCGTAATACTCTCTAAGTCGGGGTTAGCAAAATATGGTCGGTTCCAGGTCACAGTTTCTCTGATACACTAGCAACCCCCCGAGCCGAACCTTCCCCCGGATCCTCATATCCTACGATTAGATCACGATGAGTACATTTAATTGACGGAAATAGAGTATCACATATTAGATGGATATCTAGGTTTGTTCTCAAAAATACATCCATCTTGAGTGCGTGGCCAAGTACAACACTTGTAATATTTCATCATAGACCTCCTAGGGCCTATAGCTCCGAGCATTTATTCCGCAAACCTTGGGGAAGTATATGTTAAGTCTTGGGCTAGGCCTTGGGTCTTTCCTATGGTGCGGTAGAGTATTACGTCTCTATAAATTTACTAAACCTAGCCCACCTGCTAAGGAACAGCAGTAAGGAAAATAGTTAATTATAATCTTAAATATTATAATAAATTAATAATCGAATCCTATACCTAATTATATAATTACTATATCTTATAGAGCTATACTCTATTAGCTTCTCTTTATTAGGTCTTTAGGGTGGTTATATATCCCTAGTCTATAGAGCCTAGTTATTTTACTATTATCTTAGAGTAATTATAGCTAATTTCTACTTCTATGTCAAGGGCCACAGCGGGAATGAACGTCAGAATAGCGGGGTCTGGCGAAGAAGGTGTTGCAACGAAAGATCCTTCAGTCAGTTGGTTTTCTGTACTAGAGAGGCTAGTGTATCTATGCATCGACAAATCTAATTCTGCCTTCTACAGCAGGTTTCACAACAGGCAGTGAGTCTGACAAGCTGTGTCCTACAACAGTTAGATTCCAGGCTCGCTCAATGCCCAAGGCATGCAAACTACTTTCTGAATCAATACGAGATGTGGGGTCCGCCGCATCCAGCCTCTAGCAACCCCCAGAAGTATCATTTCAGGAATTTGCGAAGGAAAGTGACTTGGGCGTCAAAGACGTCGAAGGCGTTTGGATCGCTTAGCACGTCCATGTGGCCCTTGTTGGGTACTGCGAACAGCTGCTTTGGTTCCCGAAGGACATMATATATCAATGACCTTTGTAGTTCAGGGGGAGACATTAAGTCATTCTCTCCATAAACCAACAKGGCGGGGGTGGGGGATACAAAGGGCATTAACCCGAACGGCTGGAACGCCGAAATGTGGTAGAAACTGCTGAGGGTTGTGGTGGGCACAAAACTTGGCAGCACATCAACGGCCCTTCGGACGATCTGGTACACGCCCTCGGCGCCTAAACCAGTTCCGAAACCGGCAGGCTGTTCACCCGACTCCGTCACCATGGGGAGGTAAGTGGGTCTATTTCCAACTAGCCGGGACTCTCTGTCCATCATGGCTTTCGCAAGCACCTGGTGCCGTTTGGACAGCTCCCAAACAGTAGTTGGAGCGACAGCCACCACAGCTCGAAAACGCTTGTCAAGTGCCGCAGCACAAAGCGCTACCGTACCACTGAGTGAGTATCCCCAAATGGCAATGCGCGCTGGGTCGACCATTGGATGCGACTTCAGGAACGAAAGGGCATCGTGATAATCCTCGACATTATGACTCGGGTGGATCTCGTTCCGTGGTGTGCCGTCACTTTCCCCTGTCGACCTTGGGTCGTAGCTGAGAACTGTAAAACCAGCATTGTGAAAGTGTTCGGCTGCTTGAGATGTGACCATCTCTTTAACATTATTGAACTATGAAATTTGTGAACTTCTCACTCGCAAGTATGCGTGGAGCGTCAGTACGTACCCCTGGCGTCATGATAATGGCTGGGCCCCTTTCAGGTGCTGGGAACAGCCATCCTCGGAGAGTAAGCCCATCGAGCGTAGTGAACTCGACATTTTCACGACAAGGCATGATTCAAGTGCTCCTGATGGGTTGGAGAAGTAATGCTCCTGCTTTCTTCTCGTTCTGTGCTGGCCAGCAAGTTCCTACCCCATTTAATGGACCGACTGCTTGTGCGCGCACTCAACATGGCATCCCTGAAAATGGTCGAGCTGTGCAACAGTGATCAAGAATGTCGCTGTGTACTAAAAATGTCGGTGTGCATATCACTGTCGGTATTCGCTGAAATGTCGGTGTGTGACTGCATACAGTCCGAGACTTTCCATGAAGGGCTGCAGGGAGGGGAAGCAATGCTGATATCACCACCTTCACGCCGCTGTCCTGTGCCGCGGCGCAATGGTGAAATGCCAAGTTGACTGAGACACATCCAGCACAGAAAACACAAGCAAAAACGGCACCCTGATCAAGATTCTTAGCGGAAACAAAAAGCAAGCTTCCGTTGCCCGGAACGCGTCCTCTACGGCACTCACCGCTAAACATTAATGGGTGTCCTTCTTAACTTCTAAGCGAGCGGTGTGGTTCATCGTGTTCTTTCCTCCGTCGGCCGATCGTGAACTTTTGAGTCTCAGCGCATTCTGAACGCTGGAGACACCACCACATCACACATGTTACAGCATGAGATTGAGTACAAGGAAGGCACTTTGATCGAGATACCAGTTGAGGCCAATGGACAACTGCTTGCTTTCACGAGCTACGCTGCCCTCCAATGTTTTTTAAAAGATGTATTGTATGGGTTCAAGTAGCGTGATCTCTGTTCGAGAGGTCCCAAAACGGGTAGTATTGGACGCAGAGTTGAACTGTAATGGAAAAAATGCGACCACTAGGGAGGTTGCAGGCTGCAAGTGATCTTGTTTTCATATGCCGCAAGCGACTCGTGGCAACTCAATGGGCCTGCAAGGAAGGGTACATTACACAGTTTCTTCATATAATGTCGCTGACGGCTTACCCGAGCTATGAGCGTGTCCGAATCCTCTCATATTAAGGCCCAAGACAGACTCACGGGCAAATATTGTACCGACAGGGACAAAAGACCTGTCCAACACCCACTCTAAACACGCAACACTGAGCTTCACAAACCAGAGATGACGCGCCAAAAGAATCAGCAGGACTGCGCCATCGCAACTGGTCCCGAGCCCATAGCGATTGTATCCATGGCGTGTCGCCTTCCCGGTCACTGTCTGTCTCCAGGGTCGCTTTGGGAATTACTCCTGGAGGGACGCATCGCGATGTCCAACTCACCACCAAACTCGCGCTTCGACATCAATGGTCATTTCGATGGGTCGCGAAAGACTCACACCATGGTTTCGCCCGGCGGAATGTTCCTTGAAGACATCGACCTGCACGGCTTTGATGCGCAGTTCTTCAATTTGAACAGAACCGAGGCTATTGCCATGGAACCACAACAACGCCAGCTATTGGAAGTCGTGTACGAATGCCTTGAAAATGGCGGTATAACCCTTGAGGACATATCTGGCAAAGGAATTGGCTGTTTCGTAGCTAGCTATGCAGTTGGTGAGTCGCCTCCAGGCCCTCCTGAACAAGCATCATTGTCTAACACACGGCCAAACTGTCTCGAATACAAGACTTCCAAGACATTCAGGCCCGGGATCCGGCAAACAGAGCCGATGATATCGCCGTGGGTGTTGGTCGCTCCATTCAGAGTAACCGGATTAGCCACTTTTTGAACATAACTGGTCCGAGGCAGGTGGCTCTCCAATGCTCGTTCCACGGTTTACTCTAACATTGGACAATAGTTTAACGATTGACACAGCCTGCTCTGGTGGTTTGGTCTCGTTGGATATTGCCTGTAGATTTCTGGAACTATGGAAGGGGCTATAATCGCCAGCGCCAACATTAACTGCAATCCCGAACATGCTGTCGGGTCAGGATCCCTTAGAGGAACCGTCTCTGAATCTGGAAGATGCCACACGTTTGACGCGAAGGCCGATGGTTACGTCAAGGCCGAGGCTGTCAACTGCATCTTCATCAAGCGACTCAAAGACGCGGTGCGAGACGGTGATCCCATAAGGGCCGTTATTCGGGGTACCTCTTCCAATAGCAATGGCCGGACTCCTGGCATTGCTAGTCCTAGCTCTGAATCCCAGGCATCAGCTATCAGGGCCGCGTATGCTTACGCCGGCATATCGGACTTTCGAACCACGAGCTTTTTGGAATGCCACGGTACCGGAACTCAAGCTGGAGACCCTATCGAAGCAAATGGAGCTGGGATGGTCTTTGCTGCATCACGCGATGATGACGAACCCCTCATCATCGGTTCAATAAAGAGCAACGTTGGACACTCGGAGAATGCAGCTGGTATCTCGTCACTCCTCAAAGCTACCATGGCCGTTGAGTCAGGCCTCATTCCCGGCACCCCATCTTTCATCACACCAAATCCCAACATTGACTTCAGAAAGCTTCGTCTGCTCGTATCGAGATCAGCGTTGAAATGGCCGGAGTCCACAGACTCATATCGACGCGCTAGCATCAACTCGTTCGGCTTCGGCGGTACCAATGCCCACGTCATCATCGACTCGGCAGAGCATTTTATGAGAGATCGAAACATCCAACCTACGCTGGAACATTCAATATCCTATTGCCGTGAACTTGATAGTTTCTTTGACGAAGTCAGTGATGGTGATGTCGAGAAACATACGCCAGCAAGAGGGCCTTTTCGAGTTCTTGTCTTTTCCGCTGCCAGACTGGACTCTGTCAAGTCTTATCTAGCAAGCCTGCGCGCACATTTGACCAACCCAAGCGTGCGTATGAAGATGTCTGACCTCGCCTACACCCTGTCAGATCGAAGAACGAGGCACTACCACCGGGCGTTTGACATCGTGCCGAACAGTGAGTCTGTCAGGAGCGATCATGTTAATCCTGATACTGTCACATTCGGCACGAAGGCTGCGCAGCCGCCAAGAATTGGGTTTGTATTCACAGGACAAGGAGCACAGTGGCCACAAATGGGCCGCGATTTGCTTGACTCTTTCCCCCTGACCGCCGGCCGTATGATCAGGAGACTAGATGCTGCCCTCCAACGCCTCCCCGCCACCGTTAGGCCCAACTGGTTACTCCTCGGGGAATTGACTGAAGAGAGAACACCAGAACATATGCGCCTGCCCGAGTTCGCGCAACCACTGGTCACCGCTCTGCAACTTGCAATCGTGGAAGTTCTCACATCTTGGGGCATTTCCCCTCGAGCTGTTATTGGCCACTCGTCTGGTGAGATTGCAGCCGCTTGTGCTGCCGGATTTCTTACTCCGGAAGAAGCAATTGCAGTCGCATATCTTCGTGGATATGCGGCAAAAGGAACGCCGCAGTCTTTGGAGCCTCTGGGCATGATGGCGGTTGGACTCAGCGCCCACCAAGTCCAGCCGTACTTGGACAGATTCCGCCGACGTGGAAATGCAGACGTACCGCAAATCGCTTGCTACAACAGTCCATTAAGCGTGACGCTTGCTGGCACCGTTACAGCTCTACGTTTAGCCGGAGAGGCGATCAACGCTGACGGTTACTTTACGCGCCTGCTGCAAGTTGATTTGGCCTACCACTCGTCCCACATGGCAGACATTACTAAAACATACGAGAGGCTATTAACGGGCGCCATGGACTGGGAGAAAAAATGCGGACGATCAAATTCAGCCAACATGTACTCATCGGTGATCAACGCAATTCTGGGCTCTGGCACGAACCCTGACGTGGCATACTGGGAGGCGAACATGGTGTCGCCGGTTCGATTCAATGACGCATGTCTAGAAATGATGAAGGACAGAGAAAATGGCGCGGATTTCTTGGTCGAGATCGGCCCAAGTGACGCGCTTGCGGGCCCTATTGAACAGATCCGGAAGACATTACCGGATGGCGGCGCAAATGTTACATACACCTCGGCATCAAAGCGCGGCGCAAATAATCTGCGTGCTCTCTACTCTGTCGCTGGTCAACTTTTCATCAGAGGTGGGGAGGTGTCCCTGTTGAGGGTGAATGCCAGTGAGATTGCCGAAGGGGACACTCTCAGCAGACCATCACTCATTGTCGACTTGCCCAACTATGCCTGGAACCGGTCAACCAAGTACTGGCACGAGAGCCATGCAAGCCAAGAATGGCGTTTCAAGAAATTCATCCATCACGATTTGCTTGGCAGCAAAGTTCCCGGAACGGCCTGGAACATGCCAACATGGAAGAACATCCTGAAGTTGTCGGACCTCCCGTGGCTTAGTGACCACAAAATCGGCTCGGACGTTGTCTTCCCTGCATCGGCATACATCGCCATGGCTATCGAGGCAGTTCATCAATCAATATTGGTTTCTACGACAAAGGATGGAAGGAACCAGATCAACTGTGATGATTACCACTATCAATTGAGGGATGTCAAATTTTCAAAGGCGCTTGTGCTTGACGAGTCAGCCGATGCTCATATAATGCTCACCCTCAGTCCGTCACAGAGCCTTAAGTCAACTTGGCGAAGATTCGAGATCATGTCAACCGCAAGCTCAGATGTTCTACATACTACCAATCACTGTAGTGGCTTTGTTCGCTTACGCAAGGGCCATTTCAAGAATACACCCGCTGCACCGGATGCTCTGACAATGCCCTTAAAATGCGCCACCCCAGGAAAATTGTGGTACAACTCGATGCGGGATGCTGGATACGGCTTTGGGCCAAATTTCCAGAACCATCTTGAGGTTGAGGCAATCTTGGGCCAAGAGAAGAGCCGCTCGTTGGTGGCGCTCAAGGTTCCACCTTCCAAATGGAAGCAGTCTCACTATCCACTGCATCCGGCGGCTATGGATGGCTGCTTCCAGATAGTTTTGCCGTCTCTCTGGCGAGGTGACAGAAGCAGTATCAACAAGCTCTTAGTTCCTGCAGGTATAGACAGCCTGCACGTCGCCGTCTTTCCGCGAGACAGACACCCTGACATCGGTCTTGCTCTTGGGGCGCGAAAGTACCTCGGCCGTGGCAGAATTGATGACCAGGTCCATTTCGCTTCATACTCGTCGGTTTACTGCCCAGCTACTGGCGACGCGATTTTTGATATGAAAGGTCTCAGGCATCACGAACTGGAGATTCCCAACAGTTCTGCCGCGCCATATCCCTTCACTCGACTCGAGTGGAAACCCGACTTTGAACTCTTGAGAGACGGTGAAGCCATCCGCGTGGCCGTCAGAAGAGCAGATGACATACAAAAGTCACCACTACATGCAATCCTTGACTTAATAGCGCACAAATTACCAGAGCTGTCTGTGCTGGAAGTCAACCTAATTCAAGGCGATACCACAAGTGTGTGGCTGGATCAACCAGGGCCAGAGAATGCTACGCGCGCTGCATGCAAAGCATATCACTTTATGAGCAAATACCCAGAGAATGTCCTTGGTGCAGAGAAGTTGTACTCGAGCAACAATAGTGCCAAGATGGCTGTGTCGGACCCCAGTGACAGCAACTTTGAACGCCCAACGGAGACCTTCGATCTCGCTATTGTGAAATCACCGCCGATCTCCAGCGACAAATTAGCCGTTCTTTGCAATAATATCGTTGGTGTTGTTGCCGAGAGGGGGACGGTGGTATTTGTCCTGATGTCAGAGCCACAGAGTGCCGCAACTGAGGCTATAGATATCTTGCCGACGTCATCGGGCGCTTCTGTCTCAACCGCATTGTTCTTCGAGGAGTCCGAACGTTTCAACACGCGATACGTCTATCAAACGGAGTGCGAGACAGTTTTTGTATTGTCCCTCCCAAGTGCTGTCACGGCCAGCGGTGGAGAATGCACGATTGCTCATCTTCCTGGCACGGAAACGTCCGAGGCCATCACCGAGATCTGTCAGCATTTGAGTGGGAAAGGCTGGAAGATTGACGACCATGGGTCATGTTTAGATTCTATTCGGCCCGGAAGTCTCGTTCTTGTTCTGGACGAGCTCATGACACCAGTTCTCACTACTGCTAACGAAGCGCAATGGGATGCCCTCAGAGCATTGGTAGCAAAGGAATGCAACATGGTTTGGGTTACGCAGGGCTCCCAGATGACTGTAACCAACCCGCACGCTTCAGTCACCCAGGGCCTTTTCCGAAGCATTCGATCTGAAGAGCCGCTGCTCAACATCATTACGCTCGATGTCGAATCCAGTGCTTGTGTTGCGGCTGGGACAATCTCTACAGCTATTGATTCCGTCCTCCAGCAGGCTCAGAAGAAGCCGGCTCATAAGAGAAATGACTTCGAGTATGCTGAACGAAAAGGCATCCTCCATATACCCAGATTTCTTCCAGACGAGAAATTGAACAACTCTCAAATGCAGGACACACCTACTGCACTAGCTGACCTTCATGGCTCGAAGTCTACCATCCGTTTGGTTACCGGCACGCGCGGCCATATCGATTCTTTGCGATGGGCAGAGGTTGGAATGGAACTTGAGACACCCCTGAAGCCTGGGTACATAGAGGTTGAGATATACGCATCTAGTCTCAACTTCAAAGATGTTATAGTTGCGATGGGGATCATCCCCGAGAACGAAAGCCTTCTCGGCCTTGACGGGGCTGGCATCATTACTCGCGTGGGACCGGGTATTGCTGATCGGCATATTGGCCAGCGAGTTGCAGTGTTCGAACGAGGTACGCTGGCTAATCGTGTCATCACACGTAGGGAGTACACAATGGTTCTTACGGACAGCATGTCCTTTGAAGAAGGAGCCAGCATGCCTGTGGTTTTTATCACAAGTATGGAAGCTCTGCTCCGACTTGCTGGTATTCGAAAAGGGCAGAAGGTCCTCATTCACTCAGCTGCCGGTGGAATTGGCATTGCCAGCATCCAGCTTTGTMAGTACAAGGGATGCGAGGTGAGGTTAACCAGCCGAGTTTATCACGCGATCTGCTGACGTTCGGTCAGGTATATACAACCGTTGGATCACAGGAGAAAAGGGAGTTTCTCCAAAAGACATTCAACATTCCCAATGACCATATATTCTCCTCGCGAGACATCTCGTTTGCTAGTCAAATTCTGGCCGCAACCGACGGTTACGGTGTTGACGTCATTTTGAACTCTCTCACTGGTGAGCTTCTGGAGGAGAGCTGGCGCATCATCGCCGCTGGGGGGGTTATGGTCGAGATTGGAAAGCAGGATATTCTCGAGCGCAGTACCCTACCCATGGAGCCGTTCGCGCGGAATGCCTCATTCCGTGCTCTCGACTTATCGCTCACAACCTTCTCCAAAGAAGTCATCGGACAGTAGGTAACATATGAGCTGCGGAAATACGCAAGCAGGCTGACCTTTGCATAGGCATCTTGACCACCTCTACAAGCTTGTAAAACAGGGCGATTTGAAGCCTATCGAACCCATCAAAATTGTTCCGGTCAAAGAAATTCGGGAGGCGTTTCGATTACTCGGGAGCGGGAAACATATCGGGAAATTAGTGATTTCCAATGGTAGCCCGGAGAACAGCACTCACGTTCCAGTAAGTGTTCGCAGAGACGCCAGTTTGCTTACACTACATTGACCACCCCTCAGGTTCATCCACTTAAGCGAAGTTTGGCGCAATGCTTGGATGCTGATGTTTCGTATCTACTGGTTGGTGGCCTCAAAGGACTCTGCGGAAACTTGGCTGTCTGGCTTGCCAAAAACGGTGCCAAACATCTAGCCGTTATCACTCGTAGCGGCTACCAGGACGACAGATCGCAGACGGTCATCCGGGACATTGAAGCCCAGGGATGTGAAATCAGCTTGCTCACGGGTGACGTGACACGCGAGGGTGACGTACGTCGCTGCTTTGCGACAGTCACTCCGCCCATTGGGGGAATTGTGCAAGGGGCGATGGTGTTGAGGGTAAGCCTTCTGGCCCTGTGCACATATGTTAATCATTCTCTAATCTGTGTCACAGGACCGCATGTTCGGCTCAATGACACACCAAGAGTACCACGAGGCGCTCTCTTGCAAAGTCCAAGGAACTTGGAATCTGCATAAAGTCTCAGTGGAGCTCAACATGTCACTGTCATTCTTCACCATGTTGTCCTCAATCTCCGGAATTGTGGGCCAGAAAGGCCAGGCTAACTACTCGGGTGCAAATACATTTTTAGATTCATTGGCAGTTTACAGACGCAGTCTTGGACTGCCCGCCTGCTCGGTCGATCTGGGCATTGTGGAGGGCATTGGATATCTTGCCGAGCACGACAATGTGCTAAGCAGCTGACTCGGAATGCGGACACTTGGGCTCCCATTAATGAAGCCAGGCTTCGACAGATTTTTGAACTCGTTACATATCAGCAGGAGAAGGATTCTACTCGGCAACCCAATCCGCTCAGTGCGAGTCAAATGGTTACTGGCATTCGCATTCCAATCCCCAGCGACGCGGAAATACTGCGGGACGCCCGGTTTTCAGGCCTGCACATACTTAGCGGCCAAGATGAATGCAGGTCGAGAACCGGATTTGACAATGACGACAGAGAACTGCAGACTCTCCTCGGGGCCCTTCAGAGTAAGACGTCACACGCAAATTCACTGCTCCCTACTGCAGTGAGGATTGCAAATGTCAAGTTCAGCAAGCTTCTTCGGCTAGCAGAACCTATGGATCCTAGTCGCCCCATGAGCATCTATGGTTTGGATTCACTGGTGGCGGTGGAGTTCCGCAACTGGGCGCGCACTACGTTAGGTGCAGAGCTTTCGACACTGGAGATCACCAATGCTTCGAGTTTGACGTCACTCGGTGAGAAGCTGATTGCGAAAGCTCTTGCGGCGGCCGTTACTTAAATTAGTTTATACACTAGGTTCTCTTCCAACTGTTGGATTCCTTGCTTAATAGAGGGCTTCGACTTGATGCTTGCACACGTACTGTGTGATAGCGATTCGGTCCTCCTTGTGCTCTGTTAACCGTTCACTCCCACTGTCCGTGAACCTGCCAGGTGTTGGAGGTCATATCACCCAACGTCCCCACAGACGGCCCCATAGTTTCTCTGTACTCAGCACACCTTCGCCCCCAGAGCTCTACATATTCTCTGCATTGGCCGTCCGCTCCCGGAAAACCAACCTACCTACAAGGGAAGGTGACCGAAGTCTATTATTAGGGACAAAGCGCTGCTGGCCTGCTCCACAAATAAGGCGAGTTGGAGATCAAAAAGCAACGGGGTCCGTCTTATTAAACAAATGGTTGCATGGCTGCCTGAGGAACGAGAGACGGCTCGGCGGTTGATGGAGCATCCGTTCCTCAATGACTGATGGGACGGCGGACTGCGCAAGTATTACGCTCTTCTGTCCACCAGAATTTGGCCTTCCTTCGAGAACATGGACGACTCGAGTGACTATGCAAAGAAAATACAAATAGTCCTTCAGAAGGCAGACTCAATTACCTCTACTATTGGCCTCCGGTCTGCCTTTTACAGAAGCTTAGGTACTTGTCAACATATCGGCCCTGGCTCTTTAAGCAAGATATATCTCGACCCGACAGCCAGAACTAAATAGTAGTAGACATCTGTTCTGCAGAAAGGAAGCAAAGTACATAGATTCATACAGCTGGATGCAATACCAGTGCAAATGTTTGTACTCTTGAATACTTTCAGGTACCCTTATATGAAACGCTAAGGATTCCTCCTGGAAGATCATATTAATCATCCTTATAAGGCAAAAAGATGGCCCCTAATCTAGCTCTATTAATCATTGATGTCGGTTATGGCCCAGCAGTATCTTCAAGGGCGCGTTGGTGGAAACCGGTGGGAGAATGGGGTGGTGATATTAGATTCACGGACTGAGATCGTCCATGTGAACATCATGTGGCTCTGGGCATATCCTCAGGTGAACAGTCGAACAGATGTTATGGAACTACAACAACTCCTTTATGATCCTCCACAAGATCTCCTCGCTGGTACTCCGTACAGCTCACTATGTACCCGACAAAGTGGGGCCATTTAGGTGTTAACTCTTCACCAATAGGGTTATGACACTTATTATCTTGGCAACCTGGCAAGCGTATTCGATGTCGTAATAATACTCCATATTATATTAACCCCTTCCTCGCAGCGCCAAGTTCTGGGCTTACTGGTCCAAGCTTAGACTCCACTCTCATCACTTTCTGTCAAGTCAACGTAGCTTTAATGTGAACTATTCTATCACGACGACTTTATAAAATCATTCACCATGACACACCCCATCATCTTCAACAGCAGCCTCGGCCTAGGCATAATGCTCATCTCACTCGGCATGAATGCTACGCTGCGTCCCAACAATCACCTCAAAAGCCTTGGCTTCCCTGTGCCTAGCGATCCCCAGGCCAAGACGTTCAGCCACGCGCTCATGCGTATTTGGGGCGTGCGGAACATATCTGTCGGCCTCCTCGTCGCCCTCTTGTGGACTACTGGTGATGAGAGGCTATTGGGCAAGGGCTTGTGTGTAGCTCTGAGCCTACCCATCACTGATGGTTTTGTTAGTCGGTTGGTTGTTGGAGGCGGCGAGCTGCAACATTGGGTGTTTCCGCCTGTACTTCTGGTTATGATTGCTGGTTTGTTTGGATGGTTTTGATTATGTTGGCGTGGAGAATAACCTACTTGCTGTGATTTGATATTGCTTCTCTACTGTTGAAATGTACCAATTGCATATATGAGCGTCCCATTCCATGTTCAGCTCCCTGACCGAGCCGGGTTCTCGCTCAGGCGGGCACACTATGCAGGCATTCTACCCCGTATACACTAAACCCCACGCAGGCATTCGCGCCGTCTTTTGTAATTTCCTTGAGGCACGACCCCAGTTTACTACAACTGGGCCGGAAAGGAGAGCCAAGGAGCTGACACCGGCTTAGTCGCCTATTTATTGAGCTCTAAGTCGCAGTTGGTGGGTCGCGATGGCTCTCACCAACATTCGGTTGATTGTATGAGACTGATAATCTATAGTATAAACATTTGCACTGGTATTGCATCCAGCTGTATAATTCTCCCTACTGCATACAAATCCTCCAGAAATGGATCTTTCTCGTGATAGGTCAGCGACGGATCCCGTGACTGCGCCTTGCACGTGCCGTGGACAGCCTCGGATCTCCCTCAGCATCAGCAGCTGAACGAGCTGAGATATTCCAGATTGGCTTCGATTTATTTCTGATCAAAGTGCTTCATCGCATCGTCCATCAGAAACACATCAAATCCGCAAGATGACCGACGTCACAATCACCGAAAGCCACTTCAAGCTCCCTGATGGGCTAGAGGTCTACCACAAAACATGGGCTGTCCGTTTGCTCCCTGCTGCCATTGACCGTGCTTGGCACTAAACTGATGTCTGCCACAGCCGACGACACCGCCGGTCGCAAAACTGATCCATTTTCATGGCTTCAGTGACCACATGAACAATACTTATGATCTGTTTCCCTCGTTAGCCCGCCGTGGAATTTTCTGCACGGGAATCGACCAACGTGGTTGGGGTCGGTCGGCCCAGACAAAAGCCGACCGTGGAAACACAGGCCCGACCGCCGCCGTCCTGGCCGACATGGCCGCATTCATCGAGGCTCAGTTCGAGGTGCCGCCAGATGTCCCCGTCTTTGTGATGGGCCATTCTATGGGCGGCGGTCTGGTGGCCACGCTGGCCTCGACACCCAAGTATCAAGAGCTCGTCTCCCGACTCCGGGGCATCATGCTCGAGGCCCCGTTCATCGGGCTCGACCCGAAGCAGAAACCCAGTATCATTACCGTACTCCTGGGTCGGCTGGCCGGACGGCTCCTACCGCGGTTCCAACTCGTCCAACCCATGAAGGTCGAGACGATTGTGCGTGATCCCGTCGTGCAGAAGACGCTCAAGGAGGATCCCCTCAACCACACCACTGGCACGCTGGAAATGTTTGCCAATATGCTCGACCGGGCGGCTGACCTGACCTCGGGCAAATTGGTGCTCAATGATGGCATCAAGTCGGTGTATGTGGCTCATGGGACGGCGGACCAGGTTACTAGCTACGATGCCAGCAAGCACTGGTTCGACGCGCAGACTGGCAAGGTCGCCGACCGCAAGTTCAAGTCCTACGAGGGATGGAGTCATCTGCTGCATGCAGACCTGCCTGAGAACCGACAGGTCTTTGCCGATGATATTGCAGACTGGATTTTAGCGAGATTGTAGTCTGAATAGCCGTCGACATTTTGCGTTTTATTTGATATTGTTGCATGTATATGAGGCGCTTCGCCATTGCGTGAGCAAGCCGTGCCATTCGTCAGACATTCTATATATACCTCTCGATAGAGAATACATGTTTATTCTTGCGAATCACTGTCAATCCGCCGAGTCTCTCGTTCGACCTTCCTATCTCCCAGAGACACTCCAATCTCCTTGATCACGAGCCAYGCAGGCAGAAGCGCGATAGCCCACAAACCAAAATTCAGGTAGGTGCTGCCAACAGAGCTCATGATCTTGACACTGTCCAGACCATACTACAAAAATTAGCAAGTATCGCACCGTCAGACGAAGTGGACATACCGATACAGCCTGCGAGGCCGACTCTGTCCCACGCAGGAGACTGGCCATCCGGACAACCTCTTCTTCATCCGATGCCAGATTGCCGACGACAAAGAAACTGACCTTGTTAGCACGAATTCAAGGACGGAGACAAGGCACATACAGATACATGTAATTGAGCTGAAAGCCCGCAACCCAGAACAAGTACAGCGCAAAGCCTCGCCCAAAGCCAGCATCCGCCCAGTCATACGTCGGCAGCGTACGATGGTACTCCGTCACGATGACCGTCGCCCAAACCCACCATGCACCCTGCAGACCAAGCACAACGAAAAAGGCCGCCCGGCTTCGCGACCGTAGCGACAGCTTCTGATTGTCGAGGAAGGCTCCGAGCAGATTACCCGCGGTCAAGGCGATGATTCCGGACAGGAACGAGCCGAGGGCACGAGCCCGCACGGAGAACCACAGCGACAGAAACGTGAACATAATCGCCTCGGTGAACACGGCCTGCACGATGAGTGGGACGATCAACAGAAAGTCCCGGCGGATGAACAGCTTTGCCATAGCCTTGAGCTCGTACAGCGGACTGTGCGAGATACGCAGTCGGACGGGGAGACCATCTGTTCGCTGCACCCGGGATGGCTTGTTCAGKAGCAAGCCTGCGAAGGGACCTAAAGCCTGTAACGCAATAAACACCAGGTAGACCGAGTACGAGACGCTCCCGGCCTTCGACCGGCTCGAATTGATGCCCAGGTTGATCGCGCCGCCCAGGATCTGGCCCCCAACGCGGAAACTCAGCCAGAAGCCCAGGAACCGCCCTTGATTGTGTGGCTCCGGATACGACAGCGCAATTGCCCCTTCCGCCATCCAGAAGAGCCCGGCCGACAGACCGCACAGCGCTGCCCCGAGCAGGACGAACCATTCGTTCCCGAAGCGGTTGTTCGTATACAGCCCTGCAGCATACGGAGCGTAACCCATGGTCCCGATCACGAGGGTCCATTTGATGCCGACAAGTCGCACGACCGCACTGCCGAAGAAGCAGGTCACCACCATTAGACAGAATGTCAGTGCGTTGGCGGCGTTGACGAGGTAGGGCTTCTCTGCGCCCCCTGCGCCGAGCGAATTCATGGCGCCCCAGATGCCGGGGGCGAGGAAGTTGCAGATACCCAGGATGAGGGCATTGTAGAAGGTTGAGCGGTACCATTTGACTGTTTCGTTAGAGAGGACAAGCGTACTGTAGGGGTGACTTACCGGGATACTTCTTTGGTTCGGGCGATAGGCTGCGCGCAACCTCTTCGTCTGCGGGACGAACTTCTTTCTCGGGCGCAGTCATTTTGATGTTGCTAGAGTTCCAGGTGATGTATGACCTTGTTCGTATGTGGTATGCGCTGCTTTATATATCTAGCCGGCGATGGCGAATATCACGAATCATCAATGCAGATTGTTGCCCTCCAGGTAACAAACCATGTAGAGCTATCATGATAAGGTAAATTATACGAAAGCTTAAATTGATAGATACAGTTGCGTCGACGTTATTCATGGCCAAATCTCCGAGCCAAGAGTTCGAAGTAATGTTGTTTTTTGCCAGGCGGATTACGTGCTCGCACGGCATTTTAGCAGGGATGATCAATATGAGGKGAGTGCACTCCAGTAACAATTGCTTCTATCCTACGAGTGAATCCTTGAAATGAAAATTACGAGGCTTGATCTACCTCCTTACTTCGCAGAAAAGTGCATGCCTAAGGGTGGCTGCACCTGGCTCGAGCATATGCTAATACTAAGTCATTCTAATTGAAGTTATCTCAGAAGATATCCACAGTACAGTCTGTTAAATCACATTGTCATATAAGCCACAAGAAAGAATGGACAACTACGGTATGGATCTCCTTGCCTTACTGGCAGGACCAGACCCAAGGCAATCTACTCACGATCCTCCGGATGAAAGACCAATGCCCGAACCTCGATACTCTCCCTTGACGCCTCTCCCTCCGTCGCTGGATCAACAAAAGCAGAATGAGGTACCCTCCTCGCCCGTCCATCCGTCTTGGAGTCAAAGCACTTGATCAGCGTCACCAGCTCCGGAGGCTGCGCGTACCGGAAGTACCACTTGAAGCCCGGATTCGGTTTCACCCCGTACGTCTCGCCCACCCGGTTCGGGTAGATGAGTTTGGTCGGGACGAGGTCACTATCTGGGACGGAGTGCGCGTCTGCGACAGCAAGCGGATCCTTGAGGATGGTTCGGATCGGCCGCCAGACGTTGATGATCTGGTATCGGCCCTTGAGGAGTTCGGGGGCTTCATCGGGGAGATGGTAAGAGACCCGGTCCTTGCTTGCCGAGTAGGACTGGTCGATGTGGACGCGCTGGACGGGCCCGCGGAGTTGAGCGGCGACGGTGCGTTCGTCTTTGGGTTTGCGGCGGATTGTATGGTCGAAGATGAAGACTTTGGATGCACCGGTACTGATTTGGTGTCAGTAGCTTCCATTGAGGAGGGCAGTCAGACTCACGCATCTTTGAGCAGCTGCTCTACCTCGGGATAGTACTCCCCTTTGATCTTCTCATCGTCGACAAAGTCCTTCTCCTTGCTTTCGTGGTAGTAGAACTGGAACCCGTTATTGTCCAGTGTGTACTCTAGCTCGTGGCCGCTGACGTCGTGGATGGTAACGGGCAGCGTCACCGAAGGTCGGTCGTAGGTCTCTGGCTTGCCGACGTAGGACGGAGCCGGGGGAGAGCCGTCCTCGTTTTCCTTCAGGAAATTAAGTGTGGTCTGCACATGATGCGGTGCGTTTGCAGTCGGAAGGAGAGACGTTTTCTGAGCTTGAGGCTCATGGATAGTTGGGAGCTGAACAGCTGCTGATGCCATGTCGATATCCTTCACTTGCAATTGTTTCTGAATTTGATTAATAGTGATGGTATCAATTAGCCATTCCGTAGCTGGTCTTATATCACGAAGTTCTCTTGCGGGGTATGCATTTGTCAGACCAGCACGTCATGGCTGCGAGTCGAGCATCATCTTAGAAAGAACCAGATGCTGAGAAATAGGAAATACGCCGATTGGCTCTGACAGACCCTGTGATTGATGTGCTGCTCTGCAGGATGTTGTAGATCATCGAACCGACATGTGATGCTTGCAGATGGCAAATGAAAGCCTCGCGATGCATTTATAATATACCATTGCATTTCTAATCAGGCCGTCCTATACGAGGCTTCACGGATATTCCTCTGTGTGCCAGTCAGACCGGAAAACGGCCAGTTCCTACTGACCTACATCTAACAGATTGTTGTCTTTGTATTGAATCTAAACGGGGATCACCTGTGTTCGTAGCAAGAACTGGATGTGGTCAACTTTACAGCCGCACGGCTACAAGTCTAGTCTGGGATGATGTCTTTCCGAGAAGATTGCAAGTTTATTTAGATCACTGAGAGTAGCTAGAGAATATACGACGGCACAAGCTTCGTAATACTCGTCCCATCATCCAGCACATCCACCTCTTCTTCCAGTTTGTATCCTCCCCATCGTGGAAGGAGGACTGTCCAAATATACCAATAGATCACCCCAAAGAGTAGACTGTATCTGTCAGCCAATCCCTTGAACAGGAGGACAGACTTACATTCCAACACCCACGATCGCATATGTTGCGTAGAAAAAATCCACATCGCCCTTTCTGTCCGGAGGAGGAATAAACGGCGCCGCCAGTAAAGCAACGCAGACGATGATTCGAAGCCAGACCGCAGGAAGCCATGCTTTGAATGGTCGTGGCAGATTAGGCTGACGTCGCCTCATGATCAAGAGGCCAACTGCAATAGCCAAGGCAAATATCTGGCCTGGATAGCCTTCGACATCTAGAATGAAGCTGTACACGTCTCCGGGAGGGGGAAGTACAATCACCATGAGCGAAGGAATGTAGTGCACAATCAATCCTCCCAAAGGAGAGTTAAACGGGCGAGATGATGAGAGCATGGAGGAGAAAGGCAGAAAGCCCTGTCGAGCAATCTCCTGATTCACCCGAGCCTATCCACGTCATCTACTGTACTTTGAAGACATTGAGTAAACTTACCCAGGCAAAGGTGACCACCATAACATTTCCCGCGGCGGAGATGGCAATCGCCAGAGGAAACAAGGTCCTGCCAACATGCGGCCCGAAAACGCGTTCGAACAGGAGAGCCCCAACGAGTTCACCACTGTTCTTGATCTCCTCGATTGGGACGACGAGAAAGTAGGAGATGTTTGCCAACAGGTAAAGACAACAAGCAGTAACGAGAGCGGACGGACACACAGATTTGACCGTCCGGACCGGGTCCTGAACCTCATTGAGGACGTTGTTCACATTACTGAGCCCAGCATACGAGTAGAACACTTTGAAAAGCGATGTTGAAAGCAAGCTCCAGCTCCAATTCGACCCTTCCCATAGATTGTCCCACAGAAAGACGTCGTATCCAGTCCTATCCACATCATTCGACACGGAAATGGGCTGTTCTTCAGGTCGAAAGAGTATCACCCAGAGCCCTGTGAGTGTCATCGCAGCGATCATGAAAATCTTCATCCATCCCAGCAGGTTCTGTATCCATATGCCGGTTTTAAGGAAACACCCGTGGACAATGGTAATTGCGGTCATAAGCCCCGCAGCTAGAGCCTTTTGCTGGTACTCCGTCGGCTCAATGCTGAGAGCAAACAGTGTGTACTTGGAGAATATAATGCAGTTGCTTGCCGTAAAGCCCAACAGAACCGCCTGAACGGCGATCAACGTCGACGCCAGAAATCGAGGACGCCGATACGTATACTCGAGATACACCTTGTCGCCACCAGATCGCGGGAGCATACAGCCAAACTCCATCGACACAGCCAGGCCGCATGCTGCCAGAACCGTCCCCACGAGCCATACCAGCAGCGCCAACCCGACGCTTCCGACCGACTTCACGATTGAGCCTGGAGTTGCAAAGATACCGCTGCCGATGACGCGCGATATTACCAAGATATATGCGCTCGTCCATGTGAGATTGCGGCCATAAGTGGCGGTCTCGGGGATTGTGCTGCGGCTAGACACAGGACGTCCATTTGGCCTGATGTCTTGAATAGACTCGTAGGAGATCGTTTCATACAGAGCAGATGTGGGGTTTAGGAGTGGTTGATATTCAGAATCATCCATTTTGTATACTTTAGCAGCAGCATCAGAGTCCATCATATCTATCTCACGCACCGATTTTATCTGGATCCTGTCTTGGAGCTACATATAAGCTGCCTGGTGTAACATACTTCCAGGCACGCCATTGTCGGCCGCGGTTGTCTACATCCCACCTGCATTAATAATGCTGACTGACCGTGAGAGCTTTAATATCCCTGCAGATTCCATTCATAGACTCCTCTCGTAGACGGATAAGGAGTTCAAGGACTCCGAGTGTGTCCTGTACGTGATCACAAAGTTTACCTTGACTGTACAGTATTTAGTAGACTTATGCTGCCCATGATGCTGTCGATGAAATTGGCTTAACCTGCTAAACAACATTTGCAAATTTGAATTTTGTGTATCGTGGATGCGTCCTGATTCTCTGAGTCTTCTGCTATCAGCGCCATCATCAGCGCTAATCACATCATCGCGGGCTTTGCAGATGATTTGGAGAAGCCGTATTCCTGATCCTGAGATAACAGTCAACCAACCCCATAGCGACTACCTGGATGGCGAGAAGAGTATCATAATGGCGAAACCACGTTTTGATCCACCAGGATGAAAGTTAGGAGCATTCTGTCGACCGAGAAACTGGACGAAGCCTGTTGTGAGGATGTGCCTCGTCTCCTGAACCAGATTTGTGCTTTTATCACGCCATCTTAACCCCGCCATGCGCCATATACCAATTTTCTTGGAGAGCAATGAGACATGACAATCCACTGGAGTATAGTTGCCGAGTCATGAATCAATAATTGATGGGGAAGACGGATAATATTTGGTCAATGTATAAGCGCACGGCGTCGTAGTAGTAGTAGTATTCTAATATACATATTCTCTATCAACAAAATACCCTCGACTGTGCGCCACAACAGCGGAGTCATTTTACCCTGACAAAATGACTACAGTATCTACTTATGTCCAAGCCAGTCGCCTGGAAGAACCGCTCTTCCATCGCCATTTGTCTGCGGGAAAAGCACCAGGGCCTACCGTCACCCCCCGATTCGACGTCGCATCAGCCACCAAACAGCAAAAGAAGACAAGACAGAGCGCCCTGTTATTGAAGGGTGTAGGGGAGCAATATACCCTTGTGGCAGATCATGACATCCCTATAGTTGCCCACAAAGATGAGATCTTAGTCAAGGTACCGATTTCGCCGATTTCGCCGAATATTCTAACGTCTCTAGATCATCGCCATTGGGTTGAATCCCATCGATTGGAAAGGGCCGTAAGTAACGATGCCTTCCTAAAAGACCGTTTCTGACATTTCAGTGCATACAACTTCGGAATCCCAGCCCTCCCATGGATCAACGGCCGTGACCTAGCTGGCGAGGTCATCCAGGTGTCCGACGGCTGTTCCCGTCTTCGAGTCGGTGATATCGTTCTGGTTCCGTCCACGGATTATCGGGATATTCGCAAGGCTGCCTTTCAGGAATATGCCGTAGCAACGCATTTCAACGCTGCTCGAATTCCGCCGACGGGTAATGTACATGCCTCTGCGTCCTTGGGGGTAGCGTTTATTGCAGCTGCTCTGGCACTGGGGGTCTCATTTGGGTTAGAATTTGGTCGCATTCAAAGATGTCCTGGACCAAATCTTCCTAAAGTCATGTTGCAGATCGACCGCAATGAACTGCCGCGAGATATCAGGGACGAGTGCTTTCAATCATCGAAAGCGGAACGAATAGCGCCAGGAAATTGGCTTGCAATCTGGGGAGGTGAGCTGACCCCATCTCTGCAATGGCGCTCGGCTAATGAAGTCAGCATCCACGACGACGGGATATATCACTCTACAGCTTGCCAAACTAGCGGGTTTGAGAGTCATTTGCGTGGCTGATGTAGCTCGACATGGGGCCAGACTTGTCGATGCGGGAGCAGACCTACTCGTCGATCGCCACGATACCGCAAGGGCTGTAGAGATCATCCGCGGCGTAACGAGGGGAAAGCTGCGATATGCTATTGATATCGTGGGAAGAGATACAGCAACTCTGCTGCAGCAGACACTTGATGCTTCCGTGCACGATGATGGCTCGCATGCGCATCTGCTGGGGCTGACTGGGCTGCCCAAAGAGAGGGACAGCAGGATCATCTACCATACCGTTCCAATTAAATTGTTCCATAGCTCTCCTGCAGTGGGTGAGACTATGGTGACTTGGCTTGAGGAGCTGCTACAAACAGAGACGATTCGATTGCCAGAGATTATACTGGCAGACGGTGGGCTGGAGGGTATCAACGCCTCGTTGGAGCTCTTGAGACAGGGCAAGGCGTCAGGCAAGAGAATTGTCATGAATCTAGGACGGTAGTCGACATTCTATGCATATATAGAGAGCAATTCCAGATAGATATTCAAGATACATAAGATTCCTAATTCTACTGTCTGGTCTCCGCAGCTTCTCATTACAATTGCTACCTGGAACGGCTGGTAATCAGCATACCTAACTCTGTACAGGAGTTGCAATGCTTGAAAGGTTACTCCAAATTATGTCAGGTTTGTCTTCTCATTTGTGGTTGCTTCACAATCAATGCCAAGTGTGGCGCAATCTGATACCCCGCGCACGCCTCAGCGGCCCACTAACATTCTCGAGAGACAGGCTCAATACTGTCGTTCTTCAGTAGGCTGGGTCGGCAGATTAGCAGATACGATGTGCCCCTCACAATTTATCCTATGATGGATTCTCGTGAGGGGTAAGTATAGACAGCTGCGTGGATCTAAGCTCGTGCTTGTTTAACTATACAAAATTCCAAACTATATCTACTTGATGCAACCGCGAAGAATCTCCCACAACAAATTCAAAGCCGATCCATTCTCTCACCATTCCTTCAATCAATTCCTATAGTGCACCATGTCCTCAACACAGAAAAAGCAACTCATCATCAACGCGTTTGCCATGCAATCGCCCTCCCATCTCAATCCAGGTCTCCATCGGTATCCCACGGACCAAGGGCCCGACTACAAGTCCATCAAGCACTGGATCGCCCTGGCACAGAAGCTAGAAGCAGCCAAGTTCCACGCCATCTTCTTTGCCGACGTGCTGGGCGGCTACGATGTCTATAAAGGTCCAGCGAACCTCGAGCCGACAATCCCCGCCGGCGCACAATTCCCCATCAACGATCCGCTGTACAGTGTTTCCGCCATGGCGGCCGCAACGGAGAGTATCGGGTTTGGCATCACCGCGTCAACAACGTACGATGCCCCCTATGCACTTGCGCGGCGGTTCTCCACCGTTGATCATCTCAGTAGCGGACGCGTGGGATGGAACATTGTCACCTCGTACCTGGACTCCGCGGCGCGGAACTTTGGCCTCAATACGCAGGTGGAGCATGATGAGCGGTACCGGATTGCGGATGAGTACCTGGACGTGACATACAAGCTGTGGGAGGCATCGTGGCGGGATGGAGCCGTCAACCGCAAGGATGGCGTGGCGGGGTACGCGGACCCAAAGGCTGTGAGGCAGATCCATCACCAGGGCAAATATTTCAATGTTCCAGGCCCGCATCTCTGCGAGCCGAGTCCGCAGCGCACGCCGTTCCTGTTGCAGGCTGGGACCTCGTCGGCGGGCAAGACGTTCGCGGCTAAGCACGCGGAGGCGATATTTCTGAATGGGCAAAAGCCAGAGTTGGTCAGGGCGTCAGTGGATAGTATTCGCTCGCAGGCGAAGGATTTTGGGCGAGATCCTGCGTCGATCAAGATCATCGCCGGGCTGCTGGTCATTGTGGCGGAGACAGATGAAGCCGCGCACACCAAGTTTGAGGAGTTGGCTAGCTATGGCGATACAGAGGGTGCGCTGGCGCTCTTTGGTGGATGGTCGGGTTACGACCTGTCCAAGTATGAGGATGATCAGGATTTTCGCTTTGTCGAGCAGCCCGCCATCCGCAGCATGGTCAACCACTGGGCGAGTACAGTTCCCGGAACGGACGGTAAAAAGTGGGACAAGAAGACTATTGCCGAGTATCTGCGTCTCGGGGGAAATGGAGCCAAGGTGATTGGTAGCGCGCAGACGGTGGCCGATGAACTGGAACGATGGGTGGATGTGGCTGATGTGGACGGGTTCAACTTCAGTTACGCTACCATTCCAGGGACATTTGACGATATCATCACCTATCTGCTACCTGAGCTTCGCCGCCGGGGTCTCTTCTGGGAGGATTACGCCGTCAAGGGGGGAACATTGCGTGAGAACGTGTATGGCCTGAAGGGTCAGAATCGACTGCTAGAGACGCATCCAGGAGCCAAGTATTTCTGGAGAGAGGGAGAGGATGTTCCTGAATATGCAAGAGATCAGCAGTGAGTTGTGTGTATCGCTTCATCAATATGGTACGGATCAGAATCTTGACAGTATAATAAGACTGTATCAATATGTCTCCAACATCTATCTACTGCAAAGAGCTATATAACAATGAATCAAACATCCCACCAACCCTCGAGATACGAGCGAAGATCAATCGTCTCTGGCTTCTGCAGATGCGGCGTCAGATCAGCCTCTCTGTCTAACTCTCGCTGCCTCCATCCATTGCCAAAGTAAGCAAATCGATTTCCACTCGGATTGGTGTAGGTGTACTCCCAGTCCTCCCACCGGGGATCACGGCGGATGTAGTTAAGATGCGCTGCACTCCCGGGAAATAGACCATGGATCCTTCCTCCAGGTCGACCACCATTGTACCATGAGCTACAGTTGTCGCTCCACACCGTCCGCGGATAGAATCGATCGCAATACTCGACAAAGTCGTCGGTGGCTGCTTTGGAAGGCTGTATTGTCCGTATGCCCTGGCTGCGGATCTTGCGCAGGAACTTGGCGACATAGGTGACCAGATTCTCGATGCTGTTAGGCACACTGCCGCTGTGTCCGGTGGAATGGGGACCTCCAATCCAGAAGAGGTTGGGAAAACCCGGCGTGGCAACACCAAGATAGTTGTATGGATGGCCGTACAATCCATCCGGTTTCCATGCGCTTTTCAGATCAATGCCATTTGCTATGATGCTGAAGGGAGGCGCGTGGTCGACGTTGGCTCCTGTAGCGCAGATGACAACGTCGGCCTCGCGTTCAGTTCCATCTTCGGTTATAATTCCCTTTCCTGTGAACCTCTTTATACGTGTCTGGATATAACTGACATTGTCCTTTGTGAGCGCCTCCAGATAGCCTGGTCCCGGCGTGGGACGACGACAATTGGGCGGAAAGTCAGGAATGATCTTGTCTCCTAGTTCAGGTTTGTTGCCCACCCGTTGCAGCATCAGGTTCGTCCATTTCTCTCGCAGGTCTCTGTTCTCGGGCGAGTCTTTGAAGATGGCTCCGAATCGGGAGAAGTAGCCCTGCTCGACACTCTTGCGGTACTTCAAATACTCCTCAGGGTCCTTGAAAGACTCAAGCTGCTCCTGAGAGAATAGATTGGGCTCCAGTCGTCGAACGCCCGTAGTGCCGAACGAATCTGCAATCCAAGTGCGATTCCTGGCGTAGTGATCCACGTGTGCTGCGATGGGCTGGATGGACGGGAGCACCTGCAGCCCAGATGCTCCGTTGCCAATCAGCGCGATCCTTTTGCCCTTCAAGTCGACGTTGTGATTCCAGTTGGAGGAATGAAACAGATGGCCTTGGTAGTCATTGATGCCCTCGTAGTCGGGAAGTTTCCATGCATTGAAGTGCCCGAGGGCGTTGATCACGACGTCGAGCTTTTCGGCGTAGACCTAGGAATGTTAGGCGTGCTCATTTAGGACAAAACGGAAGAATACCTTTCCACTCTCCAGATCCATTAGAGTAACCTCCCATTTGGCTTCTTCAGGGAGCCATTCGACCTTCTGCACCTTCTGCCGTGGCCTGAGATATTTGTAGACGTCGTATTTACGAGCGACTCGCTGCCAATACTCGCGAATCTCATGGCCCTGAGCAAACTCTTCCGTCCATTGCGTGTTGGGCTCGAATCCAGATTGATAGACATGCGCAGGGATATCGCATCTCACGCCGGGATACGTGTTCTCAAACCTGACGGGGTCAGTTACGCTCCAGGTTGTCCTCCGATGTCTTACCATGTGCCTCCCACATCGGCATTTTTGTCATAGATTCTCAGATCCAGCCCGGGCAGCTTAGCAGGCAGCAGTACTCCCGCTGTAATACCTGATAGTCCGGCTCCAATTACCCCGACCTTGATCTGTCGAACCTCGTCGATCGGATGTTCCTCGAGCTCAAATCTCGGTCTTGTCGACGGATTCGCTGCGTTGGTTTCGACAGACTTCACCAGAGTGATCGTTCCATTCTTTTCGGCCGGGCCTCTGTTCTGGAAGTGCGTCTCTGTGACAATGGGACCTTTCAATGTTGACATCGTGGCTCTCTTGATCGGTAGATTCTTCCAGTAACGCAGTCATCGTCCAAGATGGCCTTATATATCTAACCCGCGGGTTGATCTTCACTTGAAATATGGACCAACCAGGGTCTCACAATCAGATACTACACGCCATCGACAATGAAATTGCGTTGACAGCTCTGAATGACCTGATTCGGTCCTCTGCTGAGGAGTTCTCTGTTCTTGGTGCGGGGCCATCCGCCAAGTCACATCACTGCGGGACAGAATGGCGCCACTGTATTTTGCAATAGATACGGCATTCAATGCATGCAGACGGATTAAATTTTCAGTTCAAGTACAGGGGTGAAATTGCAAAATGCTGCCTTGACTATAAAAAATGGCCTTGATCGTGAAAGTGGAGAAACCGAGGTACCATTCAACTAATTAATTCCCTATCATCAACCCAACTGAATTCCCTTGTCAAATCGCTTCCACATCCCATCAATCAACTCATGTCTCCTCACAGCCCAGTCAAACGTAGGATACCACTCCCCTTTACGATACGCCTCATACAGTCGCGCGATATTTTGAGCAGGTATCGGCAGAGAGTCCCATTCGTCTTCGTCCACTTTGACCTCTTCGACTTGCCCAGACTCAGTCCGATAAAGCTGCAACTTGGTCTCTGGCGTACCGACATTGAGGAACCCCATAGGCGAAGTCACTCGCAGCCAGCCTTTCTCCCCCTGAATCCTCCAGTCGAGGCGCGGCAGACCTGGCATTTCCTTCCCTGCGTACAGGTTGATGGTGACGAATGCATTTGACTCCTCTGCCATGCCGTGAATCAGAATCTGATCGGGAACTGTGTTGCGCACTGATTTCTCAACCACCTTGCCGCCGTCCGCGTAATCGACAATGTCCAGCTCCGGACGACTAATGGCACAGCTGCTGGTGACGCTCTTGAATTCCCCTAGGACTGTCTATCGTCAGCACGTGGTATATTGCCAATGTAAGGTTGTCCACATACCGGAGACCACAGCTTCTAGGTTGTGTCCGACAGGAATACTCATCAGGTTTCCTCCCACTGTTCTGTCGAGAAAGTATCGGACATTCTTACTTTCGGAGGCCACATCGTTCCCACACGAGCCTAGAAAGGTGCTGGACAGAATCCGGCCAATGGCTCCTTCGTGCACCAACTGACGCAACTTGCGGACAACTGGTGAGTAGGAAGCTTGCACCCCCACAATAGTCTTTGCATTGTGAGCGGATGCCAAAGCTGCCATTTCTCTTGCGACCTCTAGGTTGCGGTCGAGGGGCCACTCGACAAAGACGGTTTTGCCTGCCTCTAGACTGGGACGCACAGTCTGGAAATGTCGGTCGACTCGGACAACAGAGACCACCAGGTCAATGTCGGGGTCATTGGCGAGGTCTTTCAAGTCAGTATCATCCAACAAACCCAGTGACGGTTCAACACACCTTGTGGATTGCCGTACGCCTTGGTATCCTTTGGGAGATTATACTTCTCAATAGCAGCTTGCGCTGACTGAACGGAAGAGTTGAGCAACGCCGCGATAGTGAAATGCTCTGATCGTTGCAGAAATGGGAGATGAGCATTTGCGGCCCAGGCAGTGCCCTCGTAGTCCGTAGCACCAGAAAGGCCGATCAGGCCAACGCGGATAGGAGACATTTTGGATTACAGTAGAGGTATAGGAGACTGTGGATGCAGATGAATACGCGTAGAAGACAGAAGATGAGTGTGTTTAATACATCGCACTCGGGTGGATATCACCCCGTTGATGATTAGAAATACCATATTGTAGAAGTCTCCGCTGTTATCATGTGCTTTAGTATTGCTTCGTGGATCGCCAGCCAGATCACGGAATTTGGTGAGGATCCATTGGAACTCTTTGTCATTGACCAATGAGTTCATGAAAAACATACCTTCTTAGGTTCAAGTTCAACCTACTAATTTATAGTTAATCTATTTATACAGCCCCACTTTCACTTTTCCTGCTTATAAATTCAAGTATAGGATGGTACATTAGGAGAATCAGACCTTTGTCCCTTATTAGTCTGAGTATGTGCGTTTACCATAAAATGCTATTAGCATGGATTGATTGCGGGGTTGATTTGTAATAGCATCGGGCTACCAATAAGGAATCAGCCATTCAACTGAACATCATGGTAATATCCCACTTGATAAACTGATCCTCCGCAATGTTATTTGAGACATTAAGGCGTTATGTACATGCCATCTCTCAAGATCCTCTCTGGGAATCCTTGGACGTTCAAATACATCTCTTCATCATTGGTAGCATCTTTCCTAACCTCGGCACATTGTAAGAATCAGAATTCTCGTCTCTCACTATGCAGTTAGATGACCTCGGGCCAGGCCGCGACAGGATTCACAACTGGCGTTCGACTCGTAATATTGAAGGAAGGTATCTCTCATATTCGGTGGCATCCTTAGTCCAATGTCAAATTGCGATCTTCATTGAAAGCGATGATATCTGGTTTGACTGTACGGAGCAATTGTAGAAGCCAGATGGGAGTTTCGAGTAGAGAGAGTTGTCCTCAAAGGAATATGAGCAAGAGGAAAATGGGCAAAAAGAACGAGAACATAAAGAGAACCATCCCCCCAGCAACCACAATCGTGCAACCTAGGCAAAGGCCGTTCTGACCTGCTTCCAGTCCTGTTGATTGACATCAGCAATGTACAATGGGTAGTATGTAGTAGTACGCACTCTGTCTGCACGATGGGCAGTTCCTCATGTAGATCGCATTGTCTTCTTCCTCGTGGTCAATAGCTTCTTCCTCATCGTCGTGGCCGAGCAGCCACTGGACGACATTATCGCCATCCGGTTCACTAGTAATTCTTAGTCCAAGGCATGGCAGACAGAAAGGGAGGTAGAACCTACTCGTCATACTGATAAAATCGACGCGCCGGATCGTGGGTACCAGCAACATTGGAAATTGGCATGGCAGCAACGTGCAATCGGCCATTAATTCGGCCCACTTCACGGAAAAAGGAAGCCATCGTAGTGTATTCAAGGGTGGGACCTTATCAGAATGCAACTGATATGCAGATATTGCAGACTCTTCAAGGGTGACGATCCAGATGAGGGTAGTCAAGGCGACAGAAGTTGAGTCAAGAGCGTTTCTAAGTTAGAAAGAGCATCCAGCTTATATAGTCATGGGTCCATAGCTTGTATTCACTTTCCAAGTTGGATTCTATTCACACTCCCGGTTTTAGTGGTTTTAGTTAGCAGATAGACGGATATCTCCATAAACAACCCCTCGTGACTCTCTGGCGTCGGCAAGTTCCGTATACATTGTATGCCATGGGCCTTCGCTGGAACTCTGAGTCCAGAGTTATCGGCAGGAGTCGAGCTTGGGTCTATTGGATTCTACTCTAACATGAGGCCGAATTTACTACCAGTTCCATGAAGGGAAAAGGGGTGGAAAATAAGGATAAACATCGATTGATATGGCTATGATTAACAAAACTATAGTCACACATGGCAATAGCCCAGATCAGACCCGCAGGGGTCTTGGAAAAACACATGCAGAGACCAGAAGGACTCGGGATCGTGCATTTCGAGAATCAATCAATTGACACTTTGTTGTATTATCAGAGAGAACAATTAAAAGTACAGGCACGCCACGTCATAATCCACTGCTATACTCTACAGAGAGAGCGTGGTTGTAATTGCTTTTGAACCCTTAAAAAATGCTATGCCTAAAATGGCTAGTCGTAACATTATCCATAATCTGGCAGGATAGTGGAATTTGGCGGATTACCCACATCCTGACCCCTGTCATGCCGAGTGAGGATCTGATATTCATATTTATATTCCGCGATCATCATCATTTACTTTTCAGAGGGTTCGCCATGAGCGCTAAAGAATTGCTCGCTGACGTTGAAGGCGGCGTGGTGCTGGTGGACTGCCATGAGAAAATGTTATGGATAGCATTTATCTACATGGACGAGGGACTGTGGCAAGACAACGGCGTCTTTGATGTTGTTGAGAAGCTGCACGCGCACGGGTGGTCATTCAGCAAGGGTGGGTTGAGGTTTAACTGGTAAGTTACTAGCCCCCAATAATAGCTACTATACCACGACAACAAAGACTGATCATTATAATCACAGCACCCTGGACATATTCTACCTCATCTAAATTAGAGTGGGCATCGACTGCTCTAACTAAATAGATAGTAACTTCCCCTCCCCTAATAACTTTAATACTTTCTACACAACACACCATGTGCCCCTAAACCCCTCTACCTAGTGCTCTTATTACTCTGAGATATCCCTAAGGCAGTACACCACAGCATGCTTCTACTGCCTACCTAACCTGTAAGACATACCTGATACCAATGTCCTACCAGGGCAGCCGCGTAAGCGACCCTACCCCGGCGGTGGGGTGCATGCCATGAAACTCCTCCGCTGGGTGTATAGTGTGTTGCGCATGCGCTGCAGGCAGCCCTTGCTTCTACTTGAGACTTTTATGGAGTTAGCACTTAGCACGCTTAAGATGACTATTATGCGCCTACGCGTGGTCTATTCTAGTGTTCCGCCCTACTTGGAGACACAGGTGTGCTTCTGGCTTGAGTATATGAATCTTGGTTCCCCTGTGGCTAAGGCTGTTCCCAGAAATTATAGGAGCTAAATACCTTTAGGATACTTGCCGCGCAGGGAGTGTATAATGTATATGCATAGGAAAAGTATTCTGCGCAGGTGTGGGAGGCGAGCTGGGAAAGGAGGGGGGTGGTTAAGCTGGATGTAGAGGATGGCGTGTGCAAAGATCAATTGTGTTTTACAAAGGGGATCACAGAGTGAATTGATGTAATGAAGTTGATGACCATAATGACGATAGTGATGACAAATAATGAGGATGATGATGATTGCCGACGACGGGATTTGGGTTCCGACGATCGGAGTTATACATAAACGACTTGACGTGCCCACAACCAGAATCACAAACCAAAGAATTGTTAGAAATACTGTCAGAATGATCACTGGAATCTCTCATATCAATCTCCTTGTTCCTCCAGGGACACTAAATGACGCATACACATTCTATGTGGATACATTGGGGCTGACTGCTACTCCAGTCCCCCAGTTACAGAAAGACACAACTGCCTGGTAATTATATGGAGTCCTCTCTGGGCGGAATGTTGCTAAGCGACCAGGTTCAATATTACACCAGACGGAAAGCAGCAAATTCACATTGCATTCGGACAGAATGAACCGGATTCTCCCCGCCATCCCTGCCTTCGTGTAGGCTCATTGGACGACCTGCAAAAGCTGCAGCAACGAATATATGATCACCATCTTCGAGGGGGCTCGGCTGCTCCTCTACAGGCGGATCAGCCGGGTGAATGTTCAGGTGAGGATAAGGCCTGTGTGGATGGGACACGAAACTGTTACTGATGATAAGATTGTAGGGGAAAAGGGGGTCGAATACCCGACACGCTTCTTCGCCAGAGATTACGCAGGGAACCGCATTGAGTTTAGTTTATAATTAGCAAAGGTAGAGACCTTGTTAGATAGCTTGTCCATCTACAAGCTACCAGCGATAGCTGCAAAGTATTTCTGTTTGACATGGTTCCGGACAGCAGCAAGAGCATCAAAAATTATCCTACTCTGCAAAAACTTTCATAGTAAAGGAAGCGGGACCGCTCACTCGAAATCAAGCATATAATTTCCCTTCTACCAAAGGACTCACATCTTCAGCAGCGAACGTTGCATGCCCAATGCCCAATGGCATATTCTCCTCAGGGGTCTCCACAACGCCCCATTGAAGTTTCTTGTACACCAGGTCTTCGGGATACTCTTGATTCCCCATTGCATTTCCATGAACTCGAGAAGGTTGGCAAGCAGCAGCTATACTGGCGCTACAACATCCTGCCAGCGGCATAGAGTCCGGGTATTTCTTGAAGATTCCAATTATAATAAGGATACCGACCATTGCAGAACCGAGGGATACAGCGATAATCATAGCCAGTGGCGAGTAAAAGATATCGGTAACGGAAGTGGGTGTGCCGGATCCATGAGAATTAACGTCGTACACATCGATACGAGCAAGGAATACCATTTCAGATATCAGCCAGTGTAGAACCGTTACACAGATGGTCGTTGGTATGCCCCATTTCAGAGGAACAGAGAGCGTATAAGTTGACTTCTGCTCGGTATTGGGCACTGGAGAAGAGACACGGAGAGCCTTGGGTTGGCTCCTAGGCCCAGCAGTGTAGCTACCCCATTCGGCCATAGCAAGCATGGTAGTCATCATGTTGTTGAGTGCCAGGTAGATATATGAAACGATCAGTTGCGGGGCATTGGCACACACGAAGCCAGTGAGAAGATTTGAGACTCCGGCCTTGGTAGCAGCTAAGGTTGAATGAGGTTGACCGATGCCCAGTGTCGCAATGGCGGACTGGGATACCGTAATAAAATTAGGCATATTAAAGGGTGGTAGGTAGAATCCGGCAAAAATGATGACGCTGCATACGCAGAGCATGTAAACCGTCCATTGCCACCAGTTGACAGCTTTGCCCCATCGCCATCGTCCTCCTGCCCAGAGATCGCCGACATTGGGTGCACGAGTCGTCCATTCTTCTGACCCGAGCTTTTCATAATCATATTTGGCGACAAGACAACGGCCTTGTGTGTATGGGTCTGGACGTTTGAGAAAGGATTGAATCGCATCGCCAGTTGTGCACAGAGGTTGGTCCTTCTTTGTGATTCGTAAGGTGTATAGAAAAGAGGCGATTTTAATAGAGTTGCAGATGATCACGACGATCAAGAAGAGAGGGACAATGTTGGCTTTGCATTGTTCAGGTGTTCGCTGAGAGTAGCAGTAGCGAACCAGCGCGTCTCTCTGAGAACCAAGGACTGCGCCATTTGTTCCAGCTCCACCAGGGATCCAGTTGTTGGCACCAGACTTGAGAAGATCGGATGCGCAAGACCATTCGCGCCCATTCATCACATCAAGGTTATTTGTTGAGGAATTGCACATCCAGAGAAATAGAGGTGCGCCGGTTGTGAAGAAAACATTGTAGTAGATCGCTAGAACTGAGGAATTTGTGGGAGTCTCCCCCTCTACCGCAAGGGTAGCTGCGGCATTATTGTCGACGACTAGAAGGACATGTTGGCGGTCTGATACCTTGTCCTGGTCATAAGCGCGGAGACACTCTTCCACGTCGAGAAACTCGAGTCCACTGGAAGAGTTGCCCGACTTGCTGGCAATGGCTTCCTGCTGGAGGTTGTGAATTATAGTGTGGTACTGGGCAGCTTTAGCATCAGCATCTGCGTATTCCTCATTGATATTGTGAGACTTCGCTGGGATAGTCCATTGTGAACCTTGCAAAAAGTCCTCTGTGACGGTGACAGCGAGGTAGTCGTTTGTAGACTTTGTTTCAAAGACAGTCGAGTTCCAAAACATGTGCAGAGGAAATGAGCTAGCACCCAGAACCAGCCATAATAAGGTCTTGGACTTGGAAATGAAGAAAAGGTTGCGAACGGTTGGAGTTCCAATACTTAACCAACGCTGCTTAGAGTGGGCTGAATCGACTTCTCTCCTGGTAGGCGAACCCAGACATTGCATGCTGAAGTTGCTGGAGGCGAGCAGGATTGTACTCAGCACGTTGATTATAATATGTGAGATAATGGTGACAGTATGGGTTGTTTCACAACTTCCAGTAAAGAATGTAATGCTGTAGTCCACCAGACTGAATCTGCTGTACATTACTGCCAGGGTGATCAGGTTAACCAGCAGAACCAATGTACCTGCTAAAGCACCGCTTGCAACAGTGAATCTCCATGCTTGGAGCATCCGTCTCCTGAATTTTCGCTGTGACCGACTTTCATCCTGGATTTCCCCATCAAATTTGTCTCTTGACATCAAAGGAATCTCTACAGCCTGCATATTGACTTAGAAATGGTGCTTCTGCCCCGCACACAGGAATCTAGCCAAGATTCCTGGCAACAATTGAAATAAGAAAATATTTACTTGTTGGAGAAAATGTCTCCTTGGAGGCTTGAAAAACGAAAAGCACGAACCGGACCATAGAAGAGGTCAAGAGAAGCTGGGATCTTGGGTGGCAGCGAAGGCAGAGTTGAGGCTTAATTCAGCCTCAGAGTGTGCCTCGCAGATGCCAAGAAGCCGGGCCGTTTGACGTGGTGAAGCTTGGCCCAAAGCAGCCTGATAATCATAGCAATGTGGATATCAAATTCAGCGTATGGTATTGGTCGTTCATAAGCCCTACGCGGGACATTTAGCATCTGTTAGAGTACTTGAGATGCTTAGCAGTATATGACTGATTTGATTTGACAATGCTCAACTGATACACGTAAATGTGTTTGCCAAGACGACACAACTGTTATATATTAGAGAGTTCCGGGGGTGTTGAGCCCCGCCTCCCCACTCTTTGTAGAATTTGAGGGCTGTAAAAGATGGGGCGTTGGTAGCTTAATTGAGAGAATCTCATAAATAGTCGAGTTGGATATGTTGACGGTGCGGGAGCTGGGAGAACTACCAAGCCAATTGCCTTCCTGGCTCCAGATTAGGTTTTTTCCCGGGCGAGCTGGTAGTACTTACAGTAAATAACCGAGAGAAACCCATTCTCTCTGTGGCTATGCTATGAATTCATCGATGAGGACGAGAAGTTTAATCACCGATGTGTCAATAAAAAAGCATCGGGAAACAGAGCATGGACCTGACTGTGGACAGATTGTGAACAAGCAGTTATGACTTTTAAACTTGGTGGTGCTGAAAGCTTGTGTCGATATTGCAAAAGATTAAATTCATGCTGGAGCATTGAAGTGCTTCATAATATATCATTAGCAGCCCTCCTGGTCCCTCCTTTTTATACAGTATTGCACTGTGGGATGGATTCCCTCCTTCATAGACTTCCCATATATATGGTCATAAAGCCCTGTTCATTATTACCATGGCCTCGAATCCCTCAATCATTGCTTGCATGAAAAATAGTGGATATCGGAGGCCAATAACGATGACTCTTCCATTGCCGTCTTCCATGTTCCTCCACCATCCACAAGGCTGAATCTGCCCTTGGCATAAACCTATGAGCTGTTCCACGTCGTGAGTCATACTCTTCGCACTCAAGATATATAAGGACCTAATTTCCGACCGAGATAAATCACCTGCAAAGTAAACAAGATGGCGTCGGCAACGGTTCTAACAGCGCAGCCCATCTCCCTCGACCGGCTTCGAGTCAGCGATTCTCCAGAAGTCGCCCAGGCCGCCGAAGACGAGAATGCATCATCTCCTGACGTTCGACCGCGCTGGTCGGATCGAATTCTAGCTCAAGGCCCCTGGGATCAGACAGTCACCGCAGACATGCTCAAAGGAGCACCCAGCCTGCCGATGCCCGTCGAGATCAGCGACGCGGACTCTCTCACGCCTTTCTTCAATCATCTAAAACATGACGGCAGCTACGATACCGCCTCTGATGCTACAGGCCAGAGCCAGCTGGCTGTCGAGCCTTACTACAACGTTCCGACCCTGGAGTTTGATAAGGGGGTGCTGTACGAAGACGGTCGGATGGATCTGTGCAAGATGGCTCTTGGTCCGCCAAATATCGCGACGCTGATGCACAGTCTGCGCTCCAACACGTTTGTGCGGCATTTTCTGCTAGGAAATAACATCATCGGCCCAGCTGGGGCACAGGCGATCGCCGACTTCGTACGGGAATTCCCCGACCGCATCGATACCTGGTATCTAGCCGGGAATTGCATAGACGGAGCATCGTTTGCACGCTTAACAGATTCACTAGTCAAGTCGCCTGCCGTTACGAATCTCTGGCTCAAGAGGAATCCCCTCGGTCCGGGGTCGATTGATTCCCTCTTCCGTCTCATCACTCAGACTCCAAACCTCCGGACACTGGATCTGGATCAGACAGAGCTTGGTGATGCAGGCGTCGCTGCTCTGTTCACTCGACTGGCAGACTATGTTCCTCCAACTCCCTTGTCAATGAGGATCCTGTACCTGTCCGCGACCGGGATATCAACGGCGGCCTGTGAGGCAATTGCCACGTATCTCGCCTCGCCACATTGCCCTATTACCTCTTTGTATATGTCCAGCAATCCGATCGGCGATGCAGGGGCAGAAGTGCTGGCTAAAGGGCTGCAACAGAACAAGACACTGCAACGTCTTTCCGTGCAATCTGTTGGCCTTACCGATGAGGGAGCGACTGCATTGGTTTCATCCCTTCAAGGTCATCCTGCATTGGAGACTTTCGATATGGGTCAGGCCTATTCCACGCAGGACCTGAACGCGAGGTATGTCTTTGCCCCGTGGATTAAAGGAAGAAACTGACAAAAAAGATTCAATTACCTATCCGCGGAATGCACAATCAACGCACTCTGCTCCCTGGTGACTTCATCAACGCCTCTCTCCTACCTCGCCCTCGGTCCCCAACCCTTTTGCACCACAACTGCCTTGCCTCTGATGGCTGCTGCGCAGGAGTCCAAAACAATCATGTATCTCTCCCTCAAACCGCTCATTCCGTCGCGGTCCACGCCGAAAGACAATACGCGGTTCGCTAGTGCGGCCAAGGCGCTGCGAACGCATACCCTGAGCAACATCCGCACGCGCTACAACAAGCCGACTATAACTTACGAAGAGTGGGAGGCTGACCTCAAACGGTGGTGCGTTAGCGACGAGGTCAGCGTGCGGAAAATTGACAGTGTGTACCGCAATCGGGCGGCGCAAAAGGCGCGCAGGGGCGAGGAAGTTTTGCGAAAATGGTGGGCGGACCAGGAGAGGGGGGTCCTTGAGGGAGTAACGCAGGCATACTCATAAGACACAGCGTTGTCTGATATGTTATGATCTCTCGTACAGAAAAAGCTGTGAAATGTCCCTCATACCAGGAGGTGTAGTCATAAATCAAAAAACACCTATTCATCCAAGCCGATAATTAAGTTAAAAAAGGTTTCTTCCCATTCCTGGCTACTGGTTCGAGCTGTTGACCTGGCCAAGATGACAGGTGATGGGCATGTCACCTTGCATTCAGCCCTTTACTGAATTCGTCAATGTCTGCACGCTTTGTTGGCAAGGATGGTTATTGAACCTTAAACAAACAGGATCATCAGCGGGGATTTCCGATTTCGATGCACTCAATAGTAAATACAAATAGCAATGAATAATGAACGTGGTTTCGAGCTGTGGGTTGTCTCCATAATGATAAGCGAGTAGAGTGTGTGTAAGATTTACAGAATCAGACTCGGTATTTAAATCGATAATAATATAGAATTTTATCGAGGAATCGTTAGAATGCATATAGAGCAAAGTCTTGAGATTTAGGTACCAATGAAAGTTTGCTTCGTGGGAAAGTTGACCATCGAGATAGACATGTATATATTTCGCCGATCCCATGGCCTTAAACCCTAAATACCCATTTGTTCCTCGACTATTCAGCAAAGTATATATGCATGTTTGCTTACCGAGCATTATTCGTAACAAAATACGCTGCAATTCGGACCAAAGCAAGTCAGAGTCTACAGGGATCACCCCTGATTTTGAGTGAGTTGACAAATGTTGTGTCACTGAAATGACACGTTATCTAGCATGACAGCGCACAGTCCTCGTTTCTAGTGCAGGACCAACAGATCACATTTCAAGCCCTCAGAGCCAGTGACCTGGTTGAGAAATTGCGGAACGGGCCGCAAATTCCACTGGGAATGATCAGAGACGGAAGCTCGAAGTACGCATGTCCTGCCGGAGTAAGAAGAGAGCACCTTGGAAGGCCAAGAAGGTCAAAAAAATATCAGCACATCGTCTCGATTAACATAATTACCATCATACGGCTAGTACGTATCTACACTAGTATCATCATCCCACGCTCCCTTAGTTCTAAGATCACTCAAAATTCGGCGAACCCTGGCTGTCCCAATACGGAAAAGCTGAGGCTGATCGCCAATTGCCAAGAAAGGGAGAGACATGCCAAGATGACCAATGGGTTAACCGATGCGGGCGTCACTGGTCACCCCGGGAACGGTTCCTAATACGCAGGGCAGGTGTGTCCTGACTCGATGAGAGCAGTCACACCGCATGAGCCGTGATCTAACAGCAAGAGCAACCAGGCCCACAAGCAAGGGACAGAAGGGTCCACCCAATAGTGTCGGATAGTGCTCACTGCAATCCACCACTTACCTGAGCCGGAGAATGTAAATCGGGCCAGCTGATCAGGATAATCCCTGCAGAGCTGAGCAAAACATTAATAATATGCTTCTCTGTGCCTCTCTACTCTTAAGTCGGGGACACCGGCCCAAAGGTTCTTATATTAAGCTGTAGCTGGACGCGTTAGAGCGGTCCGAATTCTTCTTCTCCATCCTGCCGAGTGCCAAGGGCCCTGATCACCATGAAACTGCCGAGTCTCGTGGCCTATGCGCTGTGTCTGTCGCTCACTGCGGCCAAAGTTATTCCTGATGACGCCCCGGATCCGAATGGCAGTGCTGTGCGGCGCCATCTCATGGCTCGATCGGCCATGATCACCATAGAAAAGCGGCAGCGACAAGGTATGCTGCGGCCATGGCTCGCTAGTGACGACGGATACTGACTGGGCCGTAGATCACGAGTTTCGG